TAAGACAGAGACTCACTAAATTGCTTACAGTCTCACTAAATTGCTGAAGCTGGCTGGCCTCAAACTTGCAATCCTCCTGCCTAAACCTTCCAAACCCCTGGGATTACAAGCATACACCACACACCCATCAGAACCTTGTAGAGTTGCACAGCGTCACCTATGTGCTATCTGCCCAGCCTTCTTCCTCACAGCTCTCTTACCCTGAGCAATGCTGATAGAGACCCAGATAGAGGCATGGGTGGAATGGGGACTCCTGGGAGGAAGATTCCTTGGCTCTAAGCCATCTCTAGATGCCCCCAGGAATTATAGGTTATAGAGACCAATTGAAGCCACAGGTAGGAGGCCACTTTATGGGATTTTCCCGTCTTACCTGCTTAGCCAGGATTCCCAGCACAGCAAATTTTACTTACGGGCTACAGGTGGCATGGAGCCCCCGTATGTGTGCTCCCCTCCCTGTTTCATCCAAGTGACAACTGGACATCTAGGAAAGGAGAGGTGTCCCCACTCTGCTTTGGTAAATGCAATCTTGACAGTTGATGTGTCTTAAAGTCTTAAAGCACTCAGTGGGAGGTGAAGCCTCCTTCCCCTGCAAGGGCCTCCCTCTCCACGGTCAGAGTCTTTCCTGAGGGTCAGAAGCTTACCTAGGCAGGGGTAGAGGACTGTCCTGACCCTCCCCATTCTGGGGACCCCCACCAATGGGCCCAGTAGATGCAGTGATCAGGGCACAGAAAGTCCAATGTGCTCTTCAAATGGGGTTTAGGGAAGGAGCCCCCAACTGGGGCTGCAGCTGGTTACATGGCTCAGCTCAGGGCCAGGTTTTCTAGGAATGAGGCAGGCAGTCCTTCACCTGCCATTCCTGAGAGCTGGGTTCTCCCAAAGGAGAGACTGTTTTTATAAGGCTTTCAGTTTTGCAGCAGAGGTTACAGAAAAACACAAAATTCTGCCATCAACTATTAACCCCCTGTGCCCCAGTATGTTTTAGTCACAGGACTTTTACACCACCCACACCCAAACATACTTGACCCAGAAAACCTCCATGAAGCAGGTCCACTTAGGAGTTTTGAGGACCCTGGGCATTTTTGCCTTCAAGGACCTCTTCCTGAATGCAAAGTATATAAAATATAAAAAATACATATATTTTAACAATTGCATGGGTATAAAGATGAATATGTTAATAGTGTATAGTAAAATGATTTCTTCTGCCTAAAATTTCAGTTTTCCTTCTGATTTTTTTTTAAAGAGAGATCATTTTTAATATTTATTTTAGTTTTCGGTGGACACAACATCTTTCATTTTATTTTTATATGGTGCTGAGGATCGATCCCAGCGCCCCGTGCATGCCGGGCGAGCGCGCTACCGCTTGAGCCACATCCCCAGCCCTTCCTTCTGATTTTAAAAGAAAACTTTTGGTGGCTCTCTAATGCCAGCACCACCTCTAGCTCCTGGCTCCCGCCAAAGGAGAAGCTGGGTAAGTAAGAAGGTCTTTCTACCATGGCTAAGCCGCTCCCAAGAGTGCACCCTCTACTGGAGGAGTAAAGATGCCTCATCGTTGCAGGCCTGGTATTGTGGCATTTCGTGAAATTAGACGTTATCAGAAATCCATTGAACTTCTGATTTGCAACTCCCCCTTTCAGTGTCTTGTGAGAGAAGTTGCTCAGGACTTCAAAACAAATCTGCACTTCCAGAGTACAGCTATTTGTGTTTTGCAGAAGGGAGGCAAGGCCTATCTGGTTGGCCTTTGTGAAGACACCAACCTATGTGGTATCCATGCCATATGTGTAACAATTATGCCAAAAGACATCCAACTGGCACATTGCATACGTGGAGAACATGCTTAAGAATTCACTATGATGGGGGCTGGGGTTGTAGCTCGGTGGTTGAGCGCTTGCCTCGGGTGCATGAGGCACTGGGTTCAATCCTCAGCATCATATTAAAAAATAAATAAATAAAATAAAGATATTGTGTCCATCTACAACTAAAAAATATATCTTTAAAAAATTCACTATAATGGGGGCTGGGGTTGTGACTCAGAGGTGGAGCGCTGGCCTGGCATGAGTGAGGCACGGGTTTTGATCCTCAGCACCACATAAAATAAAATAAAAATATTGTGTCTACCTATAACTAAAAAATAAATATTTTAAAAAATTCACTATAATGGGGAACATTTCATTCTCAAAAAAAATTTTTTTCTCTTCTTCCTGTTATTGGTAGTTCTTAAGTTACATATTTTTTTCCAAAGGGTCAAAAGGTACCTAAGTATATGATTGTGAGTGGAAAAACAGGGGACAGAAATCAGGTATTGGTCGGTTTTCCATTTTCATTGTGTGTAAATTTTTTTCTTTTCTTCTTTTTATTTTATTTTATTTATTTATTTATTTATTATTTAGTGGTGCTGGGGATTGAACCCATGGCCTTGTACATGTGAGGCAAGCACTCTAACTACTTAGCTACATCCTCAGCCCTGTGTGTGAATTTTTAATATAAATGCAGGCATATAGAGCATTAATGAAAGTCAAAATTTTTCAGTGAACAAGTTTCAGTAGTTCAACTTTATAACAATTATAAATAAAACTGTTAAAATTTTCTGGACAATGCCAGCATTTGGATTTTTTTAAAACAAGTAAAATTTTTATTGACGGGAACTAAATGGTGTTTGTAGCATTTTTATCACAGTAGATGCCACCCATTCACTAGACTTTTCTGAGTTGTCCTACATGCAAGTACATGTTTTTAATGTTGTCTTCTGTGCTGTTCCTGTAAGTTTGCTATTAAAATACATTAAACTATAAAAAGAAAAGAAAATAGGGCTGGGGATATAGCTCAGTTGGTAGAGTGCTTGCCTCACATGCACAAAGCCCTGTGTTCAACCCCCAGCACCACCAAAAAATAAAATAAAATAAAACTTTTGGAGGGAACCTTAAAAGTGTTGTGGCTAGAGCCTCCCTTGTCTATTGTCTATTCTAGTTCTGCATCAAGGGACATTCGAGTAGAGACAAGAGACCTGGCTAAGTGGGAGGGTTCAACCTTCCCAGTAGTGTGACCTGGGCCACTCACTTCACCTTTCTGTGCCTCAGTTTCCTTACCTGGGAATTATAATACTGTCTACCTCAAAGAGTTTATGAGGGGATTACATTAAAACCATATATGGGGGGAGAGATCATATATGGGCTGGGGACACAACTCTTTAGTAGAGGGCTTGTCTTGAATGTATGAGAACCTGGGTTTGATTCCCAGTACTTGGGCGGGGGGGAGTTACATTATTTAAGTACCTTGGTTGAAGTGAAGCCTGGCACCGATGCTCTCTATAATAGAGTTAGCTGTCATTTACATTCTTGCTGTGGTTGCTCCTAGCCACCTCGCTAACCCTCTGAACTCTTAACCAGCACTATTCTAGAAAACCAAGGTGGAGCTTCCAGTGTATAGGGATATCTCACTTAGATTCCTTGGAGCAGAAACAATCATTTTAAAGCTGGTCATTCAGTAAAAGGAATTTATTATAAAATTCCTTGGCAGAATTGTCCATGGTGAGCCCCGAGGAAATCTGAACTACCAGAAATCTGGTGGTTTCCTCTTGACCTGAGAGGGTAAATGAGGTTACCGGTGGGAACGAGGAATCACAGGACTGTAATCTGCCGCCTACTCTTCTCCATCTGTTTAGCAGGTGCCAGAGCTCAGGGAATTTAGTGCCTTTTAAAATGTAAAGGCCTCTGGGATAAATTAATTTCTTAATCCCTTAACAGTCACACAAGAGAAAGGTCTGACAGCTGGGTTTTCTGAGGGGGACAAGAACGAATATGTGTCAGGGTCTTTACATACATTATCTTGCTTAATCTGGACAACAGTCCCATTCTTAGGGATTACTGTCCCCATTTTATAAACAAGCAAACAGAGGCTCAGAAAGGATTGGTGACCTGCCTAAAGGTCACCCTACTCCTTCCTATTGCCCCCAGAGAACCATGAGTCCTGAGAAAGGATCAAGGGCAGAGAGAAAGGCAAAAGGAAATCAGCCTGCCTGGGTCTGTCTCTGTCGTAGCTAATCTGCTGAAACGCTCTGGGCTTCAGTTTCCCCACATGTACAAGTGGGGAGTTGACCCAAGGATCCCATGTAACCCGCTTTGCTTACCCTCTTCCCTACCTGGACAGACAGCAGGCAACTGCTATGGTCTGACTGTTTATGTCCCCACAAAATGCATACATTGAAATCCTAACCCCAAAGGTGGTGGCATGGGGAGGTGAGACCTCCGGGAGGTGATCAGGCCATGAGGGTGGGGCCCTTTCACGAATGGGATTTGTGACTTTATAAAAGAGACCTCAGAAAAGTCCCCCACCCCTTTCCTAATGTGAAGTGAGAAAGCCGCTGTCTATGAACCAGAAAGTGGGCCCTCCCTCATCAGACCCAGAATGTCAGTGCTTTGATCTTGAACTTCCAGCCTCCGGAACTGGGAGAAGGAATTTTTCTATTGTTTCAAAGGTACCCAGCCTGTGCTATTTTGTTATGGCAGCCCAAACTAGGATGCAGGGCCCCCTGTGGCATTTCTTTAGTTCCTGAGGAGTCACCAGTGTTGCCTCCCCTCCCTGACCTCAAAAGCAGCATCACTCCTTTGGGGGCAGGTGTGTTGAGGGGTCTTTATAATGTGTTAGATTGCTCAGAAACCTCCAGCTAGCCAGAGGAACTGTTTTGTATCCAGATCCTCCCTCCCTGCCTGTTTTTTTTTTTTTTTTTTTTAGCAAAAGAAAGCTGGCAGCAGCAGCTTGTCTCCTTTGTGAAGGTAAACAGCTGAGTCACCGACTTCTACTTCACTCAACAGCTCCACCACTTCCTGCCCACTCTTACTCAAGGAAGAGTGATTCTACAAGCTGGGTTGGGCTTCTCTGACTCCGAGGGGGAAAATCACCTGCCCCCAGGAGGGACTGTAGCTGAGAGAACCAGAAGGGGCAGCATGTGCAGTGGCCCTGGGGACAAGGCCCTACCCAGCAGTGAGGGGAAAACACGGTCCTACCTCCGAAGGCTGGCCTCATGCTGAAGTCGTGGTCATCCACTCTGAGAAGCTGCTGAGGTTTTCCTGTTCCGATTTTAGTCATGTCGAGGTTCTTTTTGTAAGAGTTACTGCAAAGAAAAACCAGAAAACAGGATCTATCTGTAGGCAACTTTTCTCCATCCTGCCTTGTCCTTCTCAGCCAGGGAGAGGGAGGGCTGAAGGACCCCACCACCACCACTAGAACCCTCACAGGAAGACCACCCTGAGGACCAGGCCTTCCTAAAGTGGACGACCTCCTGGGCAGAGCAGCATTCTACCTGGCACAAGGCTCCTAACTGTCTTGCCAAAAGTTTTGATTGAATGGAAATAGTGGGTTTGAGTGTTGGGGGATGCTTTTAATTTATTTATTTATTTTTGAAAAATTTCTCATATGTTATTATAGTATTGGTTTTGTGATTAATATGCTTCTAAGGAAAATGTGGTCAAAGTTTTAAAATAATGGTTTTTGGGCTGGGGTCATGGCTCAGTGACAGAGCGCTTGCCTAGCATGTGGGAGGCCCTGGGCTCGAATCTCAGCACCGCATATAAATCAATGATTAAAATAAAGGTCCATCCACAGCTAAAACAAATATAAAAAAAATAAAATAATGTTTTTATCCAGCCAGACCTGATGCTTCTTCCATCAGTCCCAGTGGCAGGTTTGCAGCAGCCCTGGGGGGCCTCCGTCCCAGGACAGACAGGCGAAGCCGGCAGGTCAGGGCCATGGGTGGATTGAGTTGCTCTGAACATCCAGCAAGATGGTGATGGCCAGAGCTGCCACCCAGCACTGCAGGCCCTGGTTCTTTCCAGACCCTGGTCTTCACCTCAATCACACACAATCCCAAAGCAGTCAAATCCAGAACACTCTACAGCAATTGTCTACTGACAAGGTTATCACCAAACAAGAAAAAGAGAAAGAAAAGGATAGGAAAAAAAGTAAAGAATGAAGAAAAGAAGAGGGGGATGGGAGGGGAAAGAGAAAAAGAAGGGAAGAGGGGAAACCTCACACAGCCAACCCAACCCACAGCACCTCGTCTGCTCTTCCTACAGGCTCACTGGCTTGTGCCTAGCACCAGAGTTATTTTCATGTGTCTCACTTAACCTTCTAAGAGGGTTGGGTCTGAGTTCAGCTCTGTGTCTGTCATACTAAGCACAATGCCTGGTACACAGTGGGCATTCAATAAATGGGATCAGCATGACAGGACAATGGCCAGCTTCTAGAAGGAATTTTAACCAGTTTCATTTTAGCCTATTTGGTCAAAATTATTCAGATGGTTCTCAGGCCTGACCACATATTAGGGTCATTCTTGGAGCTTTCAAAAATCCTGGTGCTCTGGCCACAACCCAGACCAATCAAATCCATATCTCTGAGTGGGACCTGAGCATCAGCATTTTTTAAAGTTCCCCGGCTAATCCCCAGAGAGCCAAGGCTGAAGAGCACTTAAGAGCACTAAGCATTTTTAGATCGTGCAATCCCTTGCGACAATAAGCTCTATCTGGCTTTGTGTCTTGTTGACTAGACCAGTGATTCTCAAACCTTGCTACTAACAATAATCACCTGGGGAGGTTGTCAAAGTACTGATGCCTACCCAGTCCCAAGCCTAGAGATTTGGATTTAATGGGTTTGGTCACAGCACTGAGAGGTTTCAAAAGCCCTGGTGATTCCAAGGTGCAGCAATGTTTAAGAACCCCTAGGACACTTGAATCCAATTCCTGTGGAAGAGTCTAGAGAACTGCCTAGAGCTCCTGTTCATGCTGATGATTTAGGTGTAAAAAGGTGAGAAAACTAATTCACATGCAGAAAGAACTAGATTGCCTCTCAGGGACTGTGATTCTGCTACTTGCAGCATATAGAAGATTTTCAGAAATAAATGAAGAGGTTTCGAGTGTTCATTTGTACATACCCCGATTTCACTCTCCATGTCATTACACTTTATTCGCTTTTAAAACAAATGTGCGTGTTTCCAATTTAAACTGTAAGAGGAAGGCAGCATGTTTCCCCTCTTGGGATCTTGGAGACCTCTCCCTGTGAAATTCTTAATGTTCATTCTCTACCAGCTCTGCCTCAGATGGTGTGATTCAAAGGGAAATCAAAGCAGTGCTGATCAATAAAGTAGCCACTTGTCAATGTGACTGTTTACATTTTAATTAAAATTAAATTAATATTTAGTTTCTCAGTTATACCAGCCATACATATGTGCTAGTGGCTACTCTCCTGAACAGTGCAGATATATAACATTTCCGCAATCCGAAAAAACGCTTTGTTAGTTCTGCACTAACTGATTGAGGTTGGGTTGCCCGGGCCCCAAACAGATTCCACTGTAAGCCCCACTCTGGAAACCGCCTGGTCACCTTTTACAGCCCTAGACCTCCCAGTCATTCCCCCAATTCCGGTGAGGGCTCTGGCACCACCTGTTTCTCTTCATTCTGTCCCTCCCAAATGTCGGCATACATATAGACTGCCCTTCCACACTCTGGTGGCACAATTTCTCGATTCCTGGTCTCCAGTTCATTTGCTCAACATGTTCCTATGCACTACTGTTCTGCCCATCTCTGTTCCAGTCATGGGAAGGGCATATACCCTGTCCTCACAGGGCTTATAACCTAGTGGGAGACATAACAATTGAACAAGTGGACAGATAAATAAAGTAACTCCAGGAAGTACCAAGTGCCATAAAAAATGACAAGCAGAGAGATGGGTTGGGGTAGAGAGCTCATTAGAAGGTGGCAGAGAACTGTGAGACCAGGAAGGAGTGAGGGAGGGAGATGGGGAGCTATGAGAAGATCTGAAGGAAGAGAGAACAGCATGGGTGGTGCCCTGGAACAGTCTAGCTGTGAGCAAAGCCTCTTCACCCAGCTCATTCAGTTTCATCTAGTTTCTAATGCACTCACCCTCTACCCCTTGAACCCTGCTGCTATCTTCAAACTGCCCTGTTTTCACGTTCTTCAGCAATGGCGGTTCTGAAGGACCTGGGGGCTCAGCAGACATGCCTGACCCTCCTCCCCCAGAGCCATTTGAGTTCCACCCTCAACCCCCCAGCTCCTCAGCTTCTCCCTCTTTCCCTGTGCACTCCTATTAGCATTCAATCTCAATTCCAGAGTCTCCCCTCTTGAACCTTTTCTGCACTGTAGGCAGAAAAACTGTCTATACCCCCTGTTCTCCTCTAACTCACACTTCATGCAAAATTTATTGACAGTGGTAGCAATATAGGTGTTATATTCTTCTTCGACTCTTTCCTTTTTAAAAACAATGTTTGAAGACCTAACCTTTCAGAGCAGTCTTAGGTTCACAGCATGGCTGATTCCTACTTACCTCCTGCCCTCCCAGGTGTACCTCCCCCACCACAGTGGTGCATTTGTGACTACTGATGAACCTGCACTGGCATATTTCTCTTTTGTGCTTACATTAGGGTTCACTCTTGGTGATGGATGTCAGTGAACATGGACAGACCCATAAGGACATGCAGCCACCACGACAGCATCATACAGAACAGTTTCACCATCCTAAGCATTCTGCCCAAAACAAACAAACAAACAAAAAAGCCCCACAAAAACTTATTCCCTCCTACAAGAAACACTCATTTCCCAAAGATGAGCTCCAACACTGCTATCACCTCCTCACTCACCAGCACTTCTCTCCCAACTCACGCCCACCCGCAGGTCCTGCAGTGGCCCTGCTAGAACAGGCAAAACCTGGCTCCATTAAAAACTTTGTCTTTTAGGACAAAGCAGTAGGAGGGGAGGCTTCCTCCTACCTACCATGCCCTCTCAGTCTCCATTGCTGCCTCCCCTCCTCCTCAGCCCATCCAGGGTCCTCAAGACCCTATCCTAGCCACCTTTTCTTCTCTCCCTGCACTCATTTCATCAGGGTTACCTATGCCAGTGGTTTATATTGTTATCAATATGCTGATGGTTACTAAGTAATCGTCATCTCTCTGCTCTAGCCCTTTACATCTGATAACTACCTAACTGAACACCTGCGGTTGAATGTCCTAGAGGCATTTAGACCACACATCCAGTGCAAGTGTGTAATCCCAACAGCTTAGGAGGCTGAGGTGAGAGGATTGCAAGTTCAAAGGCAGCCTCGCAACTTGGTGAGGCCCTAAGCAAATTAGTGAGACCCTGTCTCAAATTTTTTAAAATTAACAATAAAGGGCTAGTAATATGGCTCAGTGGTTAAGCTCCTCTGGGTTCAATCCCTGGTAGAAAGGAAAAGAGGGGAGGGAAGGGGGAGGAGGAGAGGAGGGGAGAAGGGAAGGGGAGGAGGGGAGGAGGGGAGG